TAATAGATGGACTATTTTATGTTTTTATTCACAATTGCATATTTTATAGATGTTGATAGAGGCATTCAACTGCATGTATACTTTTCCAAAATTAAATTTGCTTCTTCCTCTGGACAGTTAGCTTCCACAGGTAATTAATCAAATGGGAGATCATTGCATTGTGAAAGTTCACTATCTATGAAAGTTTTATTTTCATTTACATCTGTAAATGAGTCTATATATCCTTTATTGCACCAAACAGTTATGGTAGGAAATTTAAATACTGCTGAACATGCTACACATCCATAATACTACTGTGTCATTTTACTACCCATCCCAGTAAATATTCCATTTTCTGCATGCTATTTATTTTCCTGTAACTGGGATAGTTACCAGAGGCCACTGCTCAGTAAATTCTAGGTACCATCTGGTCTGAGAAAAAAACATATGCCAGCCTTTACAGAATAAGGTTTTACTGATAAAGACTTTTAAGTAGCATCTGTTTCCCATAAAGAGTAAATGGTGTTGATCCTTAAGCTGTCCAATCTCAACCAATTTTCACCATAAAGAATATGGCTTTCATTTAAAGTTGGGTACTCTGGTTATAAGAAATTAGCAGTAAAGACTGCATTCCCAGTAATAGCTTGCCATAGTAGGTCGGCACTTGTGTTTCCACAGCCTAAGTCTCTAGTTTACCCAGCCCCGCTGTTTCTCTCTCTCCCTCCCTCCCTCCTTTCCTTCCTACCTTCTTTAATTCCTTCTTTCCTCTTTTCCTTCCTTTCTTCTTTTCTTCCCCTATTTCTTCCTTCCTTCTTTTCTTTCTTTCTAAATTTCAAATAGTTTTATTGTCTAACTGACCTACCTAGCACAGGCAACCTTCCTAAGAAAGAATTCCTTCTCATAAAAATGAACCTCCAGAAAAGCCATCTACACTTGATTACCACATCAAATTTAGTTCCCAAGGATCCCAAATCCCTCTTAGTATGTTGGAGCTGGTTTAAGTTAATACTTTAAGTATAGTTGCTACTAACTCTTTATGCTGTGAGTGCTGTTCAAGTATATATTTGGCACCCAAAATACTGATCCTCCAGAAGATTGTCAGTTGAACATGACTCCTAGATGCAGTTCAGTTTAATACGCATAAGACTGCCCATACTCATTCTTGTCAAAGTTTCAAAGGCAAATCCATCAGTGATATTTGATCATCATATCAAGCATAGTTTACTCTCTTGGATCCCACTCCAATGTCCTAAATGTTCTATTTGTTTAATATTCCTTCCACATTCACATGTGATTTATTCAAAAGAGCAAAGGGGATTCCAGCCTATTAGAAATGCAGTGGTGGCACATTTTTCTTCATAGCCATACCCAGTTGAGAGTCACAATACATCCAGCTCAGCTCAAGGGTAAGATTTTTCTCCAGGCTACAACAGAACCAATACGATAAATGTAACCAACAAAATCAGATTCAAAGGAAAATTTCAACCAGTTAATATAAAGGTAGGTCATTGAGGATAATTGATGTCTTTTCAGTAAATAACCTAAACAGAGTTCTTGGCCCAATCTTGTAGCTTGACCTCAGTGCCATTCTCCTTTCCAGTGGGAGAAAATGTTAGGATCTTCTTTCTAAGCTGACAATTACTTGGGACTACAGACTAGAGAAACAGCTGAGAGTGATTTTTCTCTTGTTCTGAGACACTCTCTTAGGAAAAAAGTGATGTGTTCATTCCCAGCATCATTACACATTTTATGCACACCCTTCTCATCTGCCACAATCCCCCATTTGCTTTCCATTTGTTACCTATTTATTACCAGATTTTACTCCTTGGGTGTGTCTCTACTGCTTAACTACATAAGGCAAACAGCTGGAATAGCCCTGCCAGGCCTTCCCCAGGAAGAAGAACTATAAATATAAGTAGTGATGGGACCACCCCATTTGTAGGCAATGGAGAGGCACTTACAGCCAGTCCTACTTTATACATGAGATGGATTCACTATCAAGTCCATTGTTCCTTACCAGGATGCAAGTCAAATTCACCGGGATTGAAATAGTATCCTGAGTGGTGATGCCTCCCTATGCTGGGATATGCTATTATAGCCCAAACCTAATACACCTTGATCTGGCAAGATAAAATAAATTTTTTGTTGGAAAGATAAAGTTGTGCAAGTGCATCATCAATCTTCTCTTTATCCCTACAACCATTTATCAGAATCCTTCCCAATGGTTTTTCAGCTTTAAATTCACCCAATCCAGCCAGCTAGTCCTTCATGTCCTCATCATCACCAGTTTTTATCAACAGATAGTTTAATTGCCCATTCCAGTTAGTTTTATGGGGAGTGGGAAAATCAAATATTTTTAATTAGCTACTTGGCTTTTACTTTTTTTAACACAAATACACAGGAGAATCATGCAATGCTGTCAGCATCTAATACAATCCTGGGCCAGCACACTCCTTTCCAACCAATCTTATGATGGCCGGACCTTTCCATCTTGCCTTCATTATTTTCTATGACCCCTGTATAGTCTGCAAAATAAAGAAACATACCATTCTTTCTTTGGTATGACTTTTTTTGTTGGATTACCACTGCTGGGTATGCCTCCTTTCTGAGCTCTGGTTATTTGCCTTTATTGACTGTGATCATCACCATGTCACCCACCCCAGCAGTGGAAAGTCTGTTCAGTTGCCCTTTGATTCCCTTCACATGATACAGAGATTTTTGGTTCCTGTGTTGTCAACACAATTGATCATGGCTCTTATCGGAAAACCCAGGGAATTCCAGCATTTCACACTGGAGGACCCACCACATCCTTGCTTAGACATCTTGAATGTTGAAAAAGGGCAGAATGACTCACTTCAGTTCTTGATCAAACTGTTGCTATATTGGTGATGCAGAATTTGATAAGTCCATATGATGCTGAGTCTCTTAGCTCGGTTATGATCATAGGCAACATGATGTGTATACTCTGATTTGAGGAAATATAACCTAGGAAACTGAGCTTATTCACATTCTGTTGTTCCACATCTTGAATAGTGTCCTAGGCCAGGGATCCCCATCCCCCAAGTCACAGACCAGTATGAGTTTGTGGCCTGTTAGGGACCAGACCACACAGCAGTAGGTGAGCAGTGGGTGAGCGAGGGAATCTTCGTCTGTATTTACAGCTGCTGCCCATTGCTCACATACTGCCTAAGCTCTGCCTCCAGTCAGATCAGCGGTGGAATTAGATTTTCACAGGAATGTGAACCCTATTGTGAACTGCGTGTGTAAGGGATCTAGATTGTGCCCTCCTTATGAGAATCCAATGTCTAATAATGCATCACTGTCACACATCACCCCAAGATGGGATTGTCTAATTGCAGCAAAACAAACTCAGGATTCCCACTGATTATACACTATGGTGAGTTGTATAAGGATTTCATTATATATTATAATGTAATAATAACAGCAATAAAGTGCACAATAAATGTAATGTGCTTGAATCATCCCAAAACCACCTGACCCAGCACTCACTGGTCTGTGGAAAAATTGTCTTCCATGAAACCAATCCCTGGTGCCAAAAATGTCGGGGACCACTGTCCTAAGACATTGCTGCACCCAAAGTATAAGCAAAGTCAAAGCCCAACATTCATTTATTCTAGTCGGAACCCAGTTGAACACACCTGGGGCTACTAGTAAGGTTTCTACGTAGTCTACCTGTGGTTCTTTGCTTTCAAAGAATCTTACCAAAAGCCATCTTTTAGAAATTCTCTATTAGCATTCTGAACACTGTGTTACTACATTAGCAGTTTCCCTAAAGGAGTATGTCATGATTCCAACCAATGTTTATAGCTTGAAAGACAATATCTCTGTTTATTTCGTGTCCCCAAATAGAGACATCCAAGGAATGGACCAGTATATCAGTCTTTGTATTCTAATCCCTTATGAGCCAGTGACTAGGCTTTATCTGGTGGCCATTAACATGATCCATTTGAATTCTTCCACAGAATTACTACAGATTTTCATAATTTAATTCTCCTCACAGTGTATTTTTAATTGACTGATCATGTGGATCTCATATGCACTAAGTGCAAGGGCATTAACCACATCATGAATCAAAATAGCAAGCGTTACCTCAGATGCGTCAAAATTGTCCTATTCTGTCAGATGTACTGCCTTCAATTTTGTCCATTTTATGGACCTAACTTTTCCTTTAACTAAGGTTTGCCATCAGCAGGGTAACACTCAGAACAGTAGATACCCTGGCTAATAACTAGGCTGGGGCATAAAGGGGACTTCTGAGATGCCTGCTGGTGAAGTTCTGTTTCTTATCTGAGTGCTAGTTTCTCAGGTTTGTTAAGTTTATAAAAATGCATCAAGCCATATACACGAATCATACACCTTTTATGTTTATACTGCATTTTAATAAAAAGCTTTTTAAAAGTAATTGCTAATAATTTTAGATGTATTAATAAGACTTGAATTAAGATAGCTTAAGATTATCAAGGATGCTAACCTGAAAGAATGATAGCAACACATAAAGGAAGTAATGAAGGGGTGAATGTGTGTGTGTGTGAGAGAGAGAGAGACAGAGACAGAAATAGAGAGACAACTAGAGAGAGAGAGAGAAATAGTCAACAGCTTTTAAATTCCCAGATTCAATCATTTCTGAAGCCAGTTTTATGCCCTTTCTTTGGTTTGATTAGTTGATCCAATACTGTAATCCTCTTTCTTATTCATATAGTTCAGGGCAAATGTTGTCACTTGTAACTAAAATAGTCATAACTATAAAGTAATCAAGCTATAGTCTCTTTCTGTTTTAGTCTTATGGAATTCTTATGAATATTAAGTACCACATTTGGTAAGTATCAAATATTAAGCAAAAATGGCTTTAGGTTAAAGAATACAACATTAAGAAGGGATTCATACAGACCAAAATCACATATTTTAGAAATAAAATCAGAAGGCAAAATTAAGGTGAAAGCAGTGAATTTTAGAAGATACTGACAAATCATAATTTTTCCAAAATCACACACACTCTCAAGTTAGACCCAAGTTTTATAAGAAATTTATTTTTTCACAGATACAGAACATAAATCCAAGAAAAATTATTATTATTTTTCACAATTATGACTTTAAATCATGCTATCTCTAGTTATTCACAAGTACTACAATGTTCTATGCATTTCTTCATCCTAGACATTAATAAAACACATCCCTTCGGTCTTAGTTACTTCTCTTTGGTCTGTTTTCTCCTTTCGGAATTTTAATCTTCTGTGATATGAAGAAATTTATGTGAACCTTTCACATATCAATTTTCTTCTCTGTGCACACTTGATAATTACCTTTCTTTGATTCCCTGAGAAAAGAAACACAAAATATTCTTAGTGGATTATCTGAGGAAAGGCAACCAGAGGGAAGAGGAATATTGGGACACTGGAGATCTCAACGAACGCAATATTAGCAGCACATGTACCTTGAGGAAGAGAAGGGATGGTGAAACCAAGATGGTAGAGTTAGAGCAACGAAGTTAGTGACATGAGAGTTTCCCAGCAATTTGAGAAAGAGAGAATTGGAGAGGATATGATATTCTGAATTCATTTCCCAAGCACTAAAATAAGATTTGAGTATACTAAACTGAAACCTCTGTCAAATCTCTAAATGGAACAGTGCAACATGTACTATGCACAGATTGTTAAAAGAAAGTTGATGTAATACTAAATTCTGTGGCCATTCCATAAAAGGACATACATCTACCTAACAAAGGCCATACTGCATGAAGAAGGACTAAGATGAAGGAGAGAAACAAAAAGGCAAATCAAAAAAAGACAGGAGCGTAAGGTCCCAAGGAAGGAGCAAATAATCAAAGGTCGCATCTGATAAGGAGCAATGCTGATCCATTCCAGTTCTAGGTCCTGAGTAAAGAAACATAGTCTGAGAAAAGAGGCCAGGGATACAGCTTGGGATGTTCAGAGAGTGGAAATGACAGAAGTGGATTATTTTAAAGCTTTCATCTCAAGACAAGAGGGGAAAAATTGTAGTACAGATTCTCTTAGGATGCACTCCAGGAAAAGAGGGAAATGTGAGGAGGGAAAAATGCATCCAGACAGTGGGTTAAAGAGCAGGACTAATCACAGGGCAACAACCCACTAAAAGACTGAGAGCTGCCAGGTAGCTGATAGATCCAGGCAGAAAGTAGCCAACTACCTGACTCTTTTCAAGCTTCCACACCACCAAACACATCTACCTGTTTCTCAAGAGGCAAATCCTCTAAGAAGTCATCTGCAGCCCATAGCATTCGTCTCAGAGCAGAAAGAATTAGAACATCCTTTACAGGGTCCAGCTCCCACTCAGAGGAATAATTGCTAACCACCGAGATGTCAGAAAGAGCAAATCCAAGTTTTCTTTGGACTTCCTCTAGCTGCAATACAGAAATTAAAAAGACATTGGAAAACAGTGAAAAATATTATTTTATGTCAGTATAAATTACAAAAGCAATATCAAAATGTAAGAACTTGGCAATAATTTCCCATTGGAAAAAAATGGAGATCTGGTCTCACAAAGTACTCTTAAAGAACTTCACATATCAAGTTCTAATGTCACTGGTAATAGTAATTTGGAATACATGCAGTGGATTCTAAATGATTTAGAAGCAAAAATTTTAAGACACCTATGCCACAGTCCATAAATTTCCTGTTTCTTTTAAAAGACATTCTCTGGATAAGTAGATTTTATTAGGCCAGTTTAATGTTTTATTCTTGTTTAGACTATTTTACCTCTAGAACCAAACTGCCTAGGTTCCAAATATTTATCTGTCACTGCTCAGCACTGTCAATAAACATTGGCAAATATTTACTCTGTTTTCTTTGTTTCCTCACCTGTAAAATGCAGTAATGATAGTACCAATTTCATAGGCTTATTATAAGGACTAATTAAGAAAATCTATCACATACTTAATGCTCAGCAGATATTCACTATCATTGCATTCCCCCAACTGGTGTTCCCACTTCCAGATTCCTTTTGATTCCAATCTGTGCACAGTGCCACATTAATTTTTCTGAAGATCATAACTTTGATTGACTTTGATCATATCATTACTCTTTCAAAAAATTGCTGTGATTCCTCATAATGCTCCTAATTAAATAAAATTACTTCATGCAAATGTTGCCCATTTTATCTCCCCCCACAAAGATCCAGCCCTTCACTAACCTGAACTCCACGTTTCCCAAACATGTTGACTTTTCCTCCATTAATATATTGTTTTATGCTGAATTTGTTGGCCCTTTTTGTCTCTTCATTTTCTGAAATATTTATTCTCCTTGAAAGCCATTTCCCAGTGCTGTCCCATTGATGAAATCTTCCCGAACCCCTTTAACACTGTATTTTTCTTCTCTAAACTTTTAAAGCACTTTATTTTTCATTGTTTCATGATATTTATCATTGTCAATCATAGATAATTTCTTGTCAACTTTTTCTTAGCCCACACTCCCATCCCCTCACCCCCATCTATAAAATTGTAAAATGTTTAATGTGGGGGAATTTTTTCTTGATCTGCGTAGCTGATAAGAGACTGGCTCAATCTTAAAGATAATCAATAAACATTTATTGAATTGAATCTAGTTGAATTGAATTGTAATAAATGAACTTACCCATGTCAGTGTAAAGAGAGACAGTTAGCCTTCTGTATCCATGGGTTCTGCATCTGTGAGTTCAACTAAGGCTCAAAAACAATTGAAAAAGAAATGGCCGGGTGCAGGCACTCATGCCTGTAATCCCAGAACTTTGGGGGTCTGAGGCAGGCAGATCACCTCAGGTCAGGAGTTTGAGAGCAGCCTGGCCAACATGGTGAAACCTCATCCCTACAAAAATACAAAAAAATTAACCAGGTGTGGTGGCACATGCCTGTAATCCCAGTTGCTAGAGAGACGGAGGCAGGAGAATCACTTGAACCCAGGAGGTGGAGGTTGCAGTGAGCCAAAATCATGCCACTGCACTGCAGTCTGGGCAACAGAAACTCCATCTCAAAAAAATAAAAAAATAAAATTTGAAAAAATATTTCATCTGTACCGAATACGTACAGGTTATTTTCTTGTCATTAATAATTAAAAATAGAGTAGAAAAACTATTTACATAGCATTTAATTTGGGTTAGGTATCATAAGTAATCTAGATATTATTTAAAGTATATCAAAGGATGTACATAGGTTATATGCAAGTACAAATGCTATGCCATTAAGCATCCACAGATTTTGGTAGCAATGCAAGTTCCTGGAACCAATCCGCTGCAAATACCAAAGAACGACTGTATTCAACTTTTCAATCTTGGGAAATGGGCCCTATTTAAGTAATTTGTATAATTCTTCTTAAACCCAGTAGCTGCGTGTTTTTATTTTTATACACACTAGTATGTGATTGTAGTAACATACCCCAGAAAATGTGTTTACAAAGGGCATTATTCATTACCTTGGACCTCAGAGGCACACATCTGTCTATTTCTATAAGGTCACCTTTTGTAATCAGATCCATGCTATCCACATGAGTGAGCAAAGCCACGTGTACCACACCTATGCCAAACAGAATTGTTTTTATCATTTTAGAGAGCATCAGTATTTTCAAGTTACTTAACTATCAGTTATGCAATAGGCAACCTGTGGAACAATTTCAGATTTGGAAAGATCCCCTGCACCCTGGTCACCCTCATCTCCCCAGAAAACTCCTCTGGACTACTTATTAGTATCTGGAGTTTCTCTGACATGGGGAGTCACCTTCACTGCCTTCCATGGTAACAAACGAGGACTCAAATGAAACCACCTCTTGGAAGAGATAACTAAAATTTATGCCGCAATATTGCTGATTGATTTCATATTCTGTCCAGAAGTTGTGTTTTGACAGAGACTAAAGGCCAAAGGCCTCTAATAAACAAGATAGGGGAGAAGAGTCCTCTAGAAAGAGACAGAATGTGTCAAAGTATCACAAGTAAACTTCCCTTATTTCACAATACTAGCAATCATCTCCCTGCACATCTCCTCTTTGCAAAGTTTTAAATTTCAGCAAGCAGGTAAGTTGATCACTCTCTGCTTCAAAACCAAGAACAGTGATAAACTGGCTCTTTCTCATTCCAAATGGACATGACCAAGAAAAGCCAGAATGGGTCACCCTAAATCCCTGATCCTGGTTACCTTCTCCAAACTCTTTACCTCTCTCTACCAAACATCTTACCTTCCAGTTTCTTTTCCTTACGACATGTTTCTTTTTCATTTTCTAATTCTTTTTTTTTTT